CTTGAGATCTTACGGGCTGAAATAAGCGAATCCGAGCAGCAGTGTCGCAGAGCCAATATGGAGGTTTGCGGCTTTCCAGTTGTTGAAAACGAGGATCTGACACGCCGCTTGTCGGAGATCGCGGCGAAACTCGACCTGCAGGGATTTTGACATTAGGATATTGAATCAATTCACCACCTTCCTGCAAAACAGGGCACAATCCCTAAAAAAAAGGTAAAGTTCAACCATGTCGCAATCAGGGATCGATGGTTTGCAGCTAGAAAAAACCGCGCGACCTTTCTGAGAAAGTCGCACTGCCAAAATGTTCTTCAATGAAAACTTAACACAGGCAAAGCGGGAACTCTTCTGGCTAGCGAAAGAAAAGGCACCCAAAGTATTGTTTTTTTGACTAAGGAAGGTAGAATTTTCGTCAAAAAGTCTGAGGGAACAGCAGTTATTCATAATGCCAGAAAGAGCGATTTAGACAAGACCAAGTGAGTTCATGGGTACCAGTTTTTTTCACTTTCCCCGATGTATGCGCATTTAAAGATTGTTTTAGGCATGCCTCTGGTAATTCATTTAGGCTGCTTAACCTGAACATTCGTAGTATAGGAAAATACTTGGATGGGTTTTTGATGATTGCTCTAAATTTAAAAGACATAATTGACGCTTTTGTTCTAACAGAAATTAATACTCCCTCTGAGTCGCTGGAACTTTTTGTTTTGCTTGCATATCGATCTTTCTGCTATACACGCCCCGATCGACGCGGTGGCGGAATTTCAGTTTTTGTTAGAGACGTATACACCACAACCCGAATGAAGATTTCCTTACTTTATGCTGCATCTGTCGCTTTGCGGATAATTACGAAACTTACCTCGTTCTTGCTAATGGCAGTCTATCGCCCTCCGTCAAACAGTGCTTCCATTTTTATTCTAGAATTTGAAAACGTCGTATCATCATGAACGTTAGAACAACATGTGTGCGTGATGGGGGATTTTAACATAGATACATTAGTCTCATCCAAACCGGTAGTAATTTATTACCTTGCATTTCTTTATTCTCATGGTAATAAATGCAGCATTCAGTCTCCAACAAGGGAAAAGTTTTTAAATGGATAAATAGTTACACCATGTCTTGATCGCATAAACGTGCGTGGTCCTAGTTTTAATAGTCAATCCATCGTAACCAATCAAAAACTGGCAGACCATTACTTTACCGCATGCCAGTGGACACCCTTGCTTTCCTGTCATGATACGCAAAAGTATCCAGGCGAAGATAAAACGACTGACACTTCAACCGTAGATCGTCGGAAATTTGACTTGTCTATAAAATATTTCACTTGGTCCTCGTTACTTCACTCAAACGACGCTTGTCAAGTGTACAAAAGCTTTGGCGAACAAATCCAGTTTTGCAGAAATGAGGCGAAGCGTCCAATCAGTTTTAGGAGAATAAAAAAGGAAAGCCATTAGATGACCCCAGATATTATTAAAGCAATCCAATACAAAGATCTGTTGTGCAGACGATCCAAACGTTCCCCGAGCAATAACGCGCTCCACCTTGAATTTAAGAAACAAAGAAATAAATTATGTGCGCTGATAATCGCTTCAAAACGACGCTACTTTAGAGAACAGTTTGTCAAAGCCGCAAATAACCCAACACAGACGTGGTCCATCGTCAACCAACTCCATGGGAAAACTACACATCCAGAGTCTCCGTTGCAGTACTTTAAAGACGATCCCCAGCTAGTAGCAAATTCATTCAAGAATTATTTTGCGAGCACATCACGAGTATCATCTGAGGCTTCTCTCGGCGTTTTCAGACTGAAGAATTCAATTTGGGAACCAGCATTTCACCAACCATCACTGATGTTGACCTGCATTCTCTGGTGTTCAGTTTAAAAAAGAAACGAAACTGAAATGAATTAATGGCATATCGATAAGAAATCTACTACGAAATTTTGCGGCTTTAACTACGGTTCTTTTATTCATGCTAAACGGTTTCATAACGACCGGTGTAATTCCAAGAACCTTAAAAACAACACTTGTTAAACCTTTATTCAAAGAGGGTTAAAACGACAAATATGAAAACTCCCGACCAATCTTTATATTGCCTGTCGTAGGTCAGCTTCTAGAAAAGCACTTGCTAATGACTACGTCAGAATTCCTCAACAAGTTCTCATGCAGTAACTTCACCGAGACAATTCGGCTTTGTACAGGGTTTTCGAACTGTTTCACTGTTAGAAAAATTTTCGGACCTCCTCCATCCTGCTTTTGACAATAATCTCTACAGCTGCGCCCAATTTTTTAGATGTTTTTAAAGTTTATGAGTTGGTCGACCACGGTATACTGCTTCATAAATTACACAAGCCGGGATTTCGTGGCAATTTTCGGATCCTTCTTACAAATTATTTCTCTAATAGTTCGCAGGTTCTTGCTCTGGGAGGTCTAAACATGAGTAGAAACGTGTCTCTTACGTGTGGCGTTCCACAAGGATCCATAATATTCCCCTTACTGTTTAATATTTATGTGAATGATCTTGTAGAAAACATCTTAAATTGTCATATATTTGAATATGCGGATGATACGTCGCGTGTCACACCAACTATACATCAGCCGTACAAATAATACAACAAGCTGTTTTCACTGCTTTGAATGGTTTCGTTACAACTGTATCAAAGTTAACACCTCGAAAACTAGTTTTCGAGGTGTTAACTGTATCAAAGTTAACTGTATCAAAGTTTCGAGTTACAACTGTATCAAAGTTAACACCTCGAAAACAAGTTTAGTATGCTTTAGAAATCCTTTAAAACAGACTGTGACGAATATTCCTATGTTCATTCCTACCTACCTCTGATTGTGCTTCTTGCTCCTGTACGGCGGTTTGTTATGCCAGTTCAGTTAAAGACCTGGGCGTTTATTTTGGCAGCGACCTTGCTTGGAACACCCACCTGTTCTATAGTTGTAGCGACCTCAGAAGTACTGCCTGGCTTTTGTACAACATTAGATATCTTGCTCCGATCTGTGTGCGCAGAACTATTGCCAGCAGTCTTGTACACGGCGTTTTAAGATATGAAATTACTATTCTTTTCAGTTGCCCCATGAGATGGCAAGCACGAATCGATAATATTCTGCGGAACTTACTGAAGAGCGTGGTGTATAACTGTGATTTGACAGAATGTGGAAGTATCTTTGAGTATCTTGGTTTACCTTCCTTCGAAACGTTGCTCGTGAATTCGGTAATTTTGCGCCACTCTTGGATGGAGGATTTAAAAAAAAAAAAGACATGCATGTCTTTCCGACATCTAAGAGATTGTCCTTGTTATGTTCTACCTCGTTCTTATATTCGCTACGGACAAGGTACTCGTGATATTTATGTCCCGAAAATATTTAATTCAATTCCTGATGACATGTTTAAGCTTAGCTCAAAAAAGCAACTAAAAAAATTTCTAATTGATTTGACTCTACCTTAACCTCTCGCTAATGTTTTTTTTTTTTACCTTTATTTTGACAACCTTGTCGGAAGCTTTTTGTTTTACCTGTATATATATATCTATAGTGTTTGCACCGGTCCACTGTGACTGACTATCTCTGCCCGTGGCATGTATACATTTCTACATGTGTACTCTATATGTATCTCTATATATAACTGTACGTATCTGTATAGTGTTTCTACCGGTCCACTGTGATTCACTATCTCTATCTGTGCCATGTACAAACTGAGTGACTGCCTGCCGCCTCCCCCCCCCCCCTCTCCACCACCCTGATAGCTCTGAATGTTTATTTGTGTTAGTTTGTGAACTAAGTATGTATATAATGGCCTACTGCTTCTTCCGGCCATGTCCCACAAGCCTACTTTGGCTTTGACGGGCTCGAAAATATCGAAAACAAACATGAAAGCGGAATAAATATTAATATTATTATTAAGAAAAACATCGTGATTAAAGTTTTGTTAGTTACTACTGTACAAAAAATAGGATATTCGTGTTTTGTTTTCTTTGATGGTCATTAAGTTTTTTAATTGCTTTGAAATCTTTTGAGCATAGGTACAGTCGGCCCAAAAGCTCTGAGGCAGGCGTCTCGAAACCTGTTGGCCATGGGGCCAGATCGGGCATCTATCGCTCTCTTGGGGGCCAGAAAATATATAAGGAAATATAAATAAGGAAAAAACCCACGACATACTTCTATGTATAAGCAATTAAATACAAAATTGAGAGTAAGAGTGAACATTCAAAAGAAGGATACAACGTAGATGAATGCATCTACTTGCTTTATAAATCCAATATTTAACTAATTTTGACATTGCACAATCATTGGGACCCAGAAAACTAAGCGGGTGTAAATCCATGTTTATAAGAACTTTGCCATGTTCCAACAGGGCAGAATACTAATGAGAATGATAAAATGGGTGCTGATATTATGCAATTGATTACACCGAACACTAAGTACAATGTGCACAGGAGCGCAAAGGAATTATAACGCAACGCACATAGTTACACGGATATGCATCGGAGGACCAAGAATAGTGATGCTGGTGATGAAAATGTTCAATGAATATGACGAGAGGACACACCCTGCGATGTGCAATTTATCCTAGTTCTTTTTTTTTCTTTTTTTTTTGTCTTTTTGTGTACGGAAGCGAGTCGCTTCCAGCAGACCCGCTTCCAGCAGCGGGCCTGTTCGAACCAACTGGCCCAAACTGGCACATTAATGATGTTGGAAGCGCGCCTTGGGCCTGGATTTATTGGAAGCACCGCTGCCAGCCGCGGGTCGGTCGGAAGACCTCCGCGGATCGGATCTGGCCCACGGGCCGGGGTTTGGAGACCCGCGCTGTAGGGAATACAGAGCGAACTTTTTTTTTTGTTTTTTCACCCCCGTCGATGCCCGCGGAAGCCCTATCTGATGTTCCAGCCCTCGTTTCACATTTACTTTTAAGGCCGGCCGACGGCGCGGGTAACCCCCAGCTGTAACGACTGTCTGCGCCGCAGGCTCCCAGATGGCGCTGCGAGTACCGGTTTCACTGTCGGGGCAGCAGTCGTCTTGTCGCCGGTGTTCGAAGGCCGGCTTCCTTCCGCCAGGGGCGCTGTGGCGGAGCGCGACTGGCGAGCCTCGTGCTCCTCGCGCAGCAGTAGAATCGAATGGGTGGTCGGCCTTGACAGCATGTCGGAACGGCCCGCCGATAAAGGCGGTGGAATACGCATGCGCCGCACGCTCAGCTTCGCCAGTGCCCAACAAGTGAAGGAGTACGAAGAGAAGGAGCGACGACGGGCCCCCGACTCGCCGTGAGTAGTCGCCGGCACGAGCGGACGCGATCGTGTGCGGGGGCGGCGAGGCACTCCGTTGCGCGACGTGAGCCGTCGAAGAGCGCCGAAGGACAGCTGAAGTGATCGAGCAGCGCGTCGGAGTCACCGGGCGCGAAGGGCGGGGACCACTGACGGCACTGACGTTGTTTGCTTCCGCCGACTCCTTGCCGGTGAACGTCTCGCGCCTGCGTTGCTTGTCGTGGCCTGGGAGGCGTCGGAGATTGCACTACGGCACTGAGCGCATAAACTTCTTTAGTATCGAATTGTTTTGCCATGTTTTCGGTCAACTATACGTAGCCCTTTCCTAAAGTCGAATTACAGTATTTCGTAGTTTATAATGTTTCTTCTGGTCGCACGTACACTAACCTCGTTGATGCGACGTTTTATGCCGGGATAAATGACTTTATTTCTATTTTTTGCAAACTGCGGAACAATAGATGGTCCAGACAGGAAGGTTAAAAAGACAGACCCGTAGAAAGCCACAAATGAGTCCACAATTATTAACGGATCACTGAAATAATACGCAGTCAGAGTCGTAAAAGCATGTGACATATGCAGCGTCAGTGCACGAAGTAGTAATGCTCCAAAAATAGAAAACACAATAAGAAAAAAACGTTTGATGTAATATTTTTGCTGGCATGTTAATGATTGCCCAATGGATATTTGACAATAATATAAAAAAATCGCTTCTGCTTGTTGATTCCGCGAGTGCGTGCTGTCATAACCGTCTCCTACCCAGATGAGGGCAAGAACACCATTGTGCAGCACCACCCGTAAAAAAATGGTCTATGGTCGTCTATGGAAAATTATATGGCAAACTATCACCCCCTATGACCCTTTGTGGTCGGCTGTAGAATTCCATTAATACAGCTACAGCCAGCTATGGAAAAATCTATGGTCCTGTCTCTAAAGACAGGGGAGTAACAAATGTTCTTTACCCACCTCTAGAAAATTCTATGACCCCGAGAGTAAAGACCGGGAACCAATAAATTGTCTTTACCCGTCTATAGAAAATCACTACCGGCACTTACTTTTTATAGGAAATACACTCCAGGTTAGAAAATTAGAGCAATACTAAATTTCTGTAATACCGGTTGAAAAGCACGAGCCAAGATATGTTCACTGTTGCTGCAACGAGTCGTGAAAACCAGTAATATTCTTTGTCTGAAAAATCAATTGAAATGCGTGTGCAACAATTAAAATTACTTATTACCCCCCATGGTGAAAATAGATTACACTGGCACCGAAGACTGCAATCAAGCAATAGCTAGATTGCAATCTTCAGCGCCAACGTACTTTATTTCATGACTGCATTGTCAACATGATTCATCAAACTTATTAAAAATATAATTATTAACTTTTAGTTAATTATCCTAGTGATGTACATTTGCTTTTTTCATGGTATTTAATTAAGAGATAGGGGCTATTCCAAGAGACAATTCAAATAATGTATTAAGTACTAGTAATGTTTGCTCCGCCTCTCCGTGCTTATGCGACAAATGACGCCAGTCACCGGCCAAGGCGGATTCAAAAATAAGACTGCCATATATAGAGGTAGTGCGAACTTAGCATACGTATAGGGGTGTGCGGGGTGCGGTGTCGCTGCGTTGTTGCTGTTATGAGGAGGAGTGTTCTGCGTGTGTTCTGTGTATTCTGCGTGTTCAGTGACGCATATGTATGTGTATCTATTATGTAGCGTTCAAAAAGTCGGGGGAACTTGAAAAACAAGTTTTTTTTTATTGTGTGCGGGCTAAAGAGAGCCGTAGGAAAACCCATACAGTCTTCTTTAGCAAACCATATAAATCGCTAAAGACACCATAGGAAAAGCCGTAGGCACCTATAGCATGCTGCTGAGAGAGTCAGCTATTAGAAAAGCTAAACAGCGTTATGGCTGGACAGTGATAGGGCCATAGGCAAAGCTAAAGAGGCCTATAAAGACGACTATTAAAATGATAAAGACGGTTATAGAAAATTCTTTAGCTGATTGGGCCAAATAGCTAAAGCCGACCATACAAAGAATTTTCTTTAGCCGACCATAGGACACTTTTGTATGGGCACGTGTTCGGTGAAACGAGTCACTTTAACTTGGATATTCTGCAGGATACCGAGCCACATAAGCATTTCCAGGAACGCCGGAGACAGATAACATTGCTCTCAATCAGTGAATCAAAACATATTCTGGGCACCAAGTCGGGGGGATCGGTGACCGAGTGGGCTAATACCTCTCAGCTCGGAGAGGGGAGCGACAGCTTGTGCTGCAGAACCTCCTGGGTTCGATCCCCAACTTCTGCACGATTCGATCCGTTGAATCAATTTTTAACGAGTGTTATTTTCGAATCATGCCAGATGGACTGGGATATGCAAATCAAGACCAAATGTTATGCTGTCATGCCCCTCTTTGGGGGTATGGGACCATTCCTGCCCATCGACATCGTCGTTATAACAATCTTTCGCGCTGCTTAAAATTTATCCAGCTTCGATTAAATCGTTTGCATTTACGCTTTAGCGAGCATGTTAATTAGTGTCAAATTGCGGCAGAGTCATGACGGCCTCGCAATTTTTTGAGCTCGAGAGATGTTTGGAATATCAACGCCGGTCATATCTTTTGGTAGGTTTCAGGGATTGTCGTCAATCTCCAACATAATTGCTTTCTTGACAATTTTCCTTTGGTACCTTTTGATTGTATGTTAAGGGTTTCTATTGAAAGATGGGTTTTGACACCAGATCGGTGGCACAAGCCTTCATAGAAGACTGCGTTTTTGCACACCATAGACATGTACGTCCTCTCGGGTTGAGCGTGACAATTTGACGATGCCCTGCGTTATCGCGACGTGATGCTCAAGGACAGCGATTCCGTACGAGGTGATGTGAAGCGCGAAGTATGTCACGTACTTCAGAGTCGTGAAGAGCGCGTGTTCGTATGTGGGGAAGGGAGGTCATTGAACTCGAACAGATCATACGGTACTTTTCCCGCCGCAAGCGTTCGGATCCAGTTGCCCGTGGGATACTCGAGAACGGTTGAACTAATCCTGTGCGCCTGTTCACCTCTTGGACGGCTCTCGAAGTCTGCTCTCTTGGCTCCGGAGCCACGTATCTTCTCAATAATCTCGCCGGCAATCAGCTGCCCTTATCGCTAGCGAGCTGGTCGCCTCGTAGGAACCTCGTCGTGGGATATCTGCGCCCTAAAATTGGAGCGTACGATAATCTTTCTTCTGATTATTTATCTTGTCTGTGAAGTAAGGCATGTTGAGATATTACTTTAAAATTGGTATTTAACGTATCTATAGTTTCGATAACGACTCTGGTACTCGCAGCAAGTTGCGACAGTAGAGGAAAGACTTAAAAATTAAGGCGTGGCACCAACTAGCATGGTTTGTTATTATTATTACCTCACAGATTCGCCGCTGTTGATGTGGGCTTTTAGATTTATTTAGAAACAACCGTAAAATTCACGAGGAGGGCGTGTTGTCATTTCCGGCATGCGTCAGGCGATATGGTAGGAAGAAGTCAGGGGCGCTGTGCAAAGGGCGACCGCCTCAGTAAAAGGGTCAAGAGAGGCGTGCCAATAGAATGCCGAGAAAACTCCGTTTCATCGCCTCGCCAAGCATACGAGCTCGCGGGTAGTACAGTTCTCCCATTCGGACGCGCGTTTTCGAAATTTTATGCTATTTGAGCTCGCCTGCTATTTGAACGAGGACATTTCTTAATGTTCAATAGCCCCTTCGTGTATTACGAAGCGTTTTGTTTGAACATTTTCAAACGCTTTGTACCAAGATCAATAACATTTCAGTAGCGCATGGCTACATGTTACATGCCACCCTGAGTCGGAAAGAACGGGGAAAAATTAACCGATGGAGGATACCACCTCCCAAGCCAGCGCGTACCGTGGCGTTTGTCATGCATGCTTGGATTTCCCGTGACCAGTACGCCCCACGCACAATCACACGCGTGCGTTCTTATTGACAGGACATGTGGCTGACTTTCGCCGCTGGTTGATTCCCTGTTGTTTGATTAGAGCGCGTTACAATAACAAAAAGTAAGAAAAAAAAAGTCAGCGGCTTCGATATATCTACGAGCAGTGTTATTACTGTGAGCACCAAACCGATTACCGATTTGCATGATTTCCGATTAATTTTAAGTTTAGACGAAAGAACTCCAACCAAAATTTAAAAAAAAAAAGTTCAGCCCGACGTTTCAAAACCTGCTCGGTTTATTCATTAGGGGCGACTAAATCGCCGAGGAGCAGCAGCAGTTTTCATCTTCTTCTTAGTTGCGAGCAGGCTTTGAAACGTTTCAAAACCGACGTTTCAAAACCGCGCAGATTTTGAAACGTCGGGCTTAATCGTTTTTTGGGGATATTGGTTGGAGCTCTTCCATCTAAACCTCATCTTTTCCCAACCAGACAGATTTCTGTCGAGCATGTTCTCATTCAAGTCTTTCCGAACAATTTGTATCCCAAAATTTTCCAGCGTGCAAAAAGCGGTTTGAGTAATCTGGAGACTTCCGGGCAATGACGACCACCTGCAGTACGCTAGCGGCACCGAAAACACATGTCGCGTTTGACGGAGATAGTAGGAAGTGTGGCGGTCTGCATTAAAAAAAAAAAGGCATGACAATTGTTGGTGGCAAATGGTTTCCTGATAAATGTATACAGTCATGTCTATTACAGACACCCCCCTTCCCCCCTAAACGTCCATAATGTGAGTTTTTCCATAACAAGACAAGAAATTAGTGCATTTACCCAGTTTTTTCCTTAAAATTTTGTCCATATAGCGGAGTTTTCATATTTGTAGGGTTTATATTAACCAGCGCAATCTAGCGTAAACCAGAAAGATGTTCTCAACTATACGTTAAACACAGCTGTGGGAATTCTTTCAAGGTACCTTATCTTTCTAGGTGACAGGGGCATTAAGGAAAGTACTGCATCGCAATCGCAACTAAACGCTTTTGCTTTTCAAATGAAATTGTGAACTTTTGCT